CGGAGAAAACCTGACCCGCTCACCCTTGGCGATGATGGGGAAGATGATGCAGCAGGCGGCGTAGATTATGGCCAGCCCCGTCCAGAGGCCGCGCAGGGTGGGGCGCGGGTAAAGCAGCCTGCCCACGCCGAAGAGGGCGACCGAGAAGAAATGGGCGGCAAGGATGGAGGGGCGTGGGTTCAGGCCCGACAGCAAGCCGATGGGCCCGCGCGCGCACTCGCCGCCGCGCGCGAGGTAGTCGAAGCAGGCGCTGCGCATGGCCTCGTGCGCCTCGCCGGGGCCGGCACAGAAGACGCGGTACAGCGCGTTGGCCAGCGTGTTGATGGTGGCCGCCCAGGGCTTGCGCCGCACGTAGAAGGCGGCGGTGGCGTCGCTGGTGGCCGCCGCGCGGGCCAGGTCGGGCAGCGGGCGCAGCATGTCGCAGAGCAGCGCGGTGTCGGCCAGGGCCACGGTCATGCCGCCGCCGGTGAGCGGGTGGCGCATGTTGAAGGCGTCGCCCAGGAGCAGGGCCCCCGGGACGTGCAGCGGCGCCGACGTCAGCTGCTTGTTGGCCATGGCGCGCACGCGCCCCGCGGCCAGGGCCTCCAGGAAGGCGGGGCGCAGCTGGGCGGGGACCTGGGGCGCCACCACGTCTCGCAGGTGGGCGGCCAGGTCGCCGTTGGTCGAGGAGGGCAGCGCCTCGCCCGGGTAGTCCACCAGGCACCGCACCTCGTGGCTGGAGATGGGGTAGAACAGGATGGGGGAGGGGTCGGCCAGGATGACGTGCCCATGGTGGGGGTGGGGCAGCGTGCATCCGTGCAGCTTGAGGCCAATGAAGTGGGAGGGCGTGCGCAGGTCGGGCACCGCCAGCTTGGACCGCAGGGCCGAGTACATGCCGTCGCAGACCACGGTGAGGTGGCCCAGCGCCACGCGCTCGCCGCCGTCGCCCGCGCGGTATCGCACGCCCGTAACCACGCGCCCCTCCTCCCAGTCCGCGCCGGCGTCATCCACCAGCGCGCGCACCGTGCCGCGGCGCAGCGTGACCCCGGGCGCAGCCGCTGCCGCGGCGCGCAGCCGCTGCACGAATCGCCCGTTGTGGAAGGAGAAGCCCGTGACGGGGGCATCGCCGGCGGGCGCGGCGCTGGCGCCTCCAGCGGAGCCCCTGCATGCCGCCGCCGCAGCCGCCGACCCCCCCAGCTCGGCGGGGGTGGGGTAGGCGATGCGCGCCTCGCGCCCGCCCTTGAACATGCAGTAGCCAACCACGGGCTGCGCGTCGATGCCGTCCACGGCGCCGCCCAGGCCCAGGCGCTCCAGGGCCAGCACGCCGCCAGGCTGCAGCAGCTCGCCCACAATGCGGTCGGGCTGGGCCAGATCCCGCTCGAGGAGCAGCACGCGTCGGCCGTCCAAGCCCTGCTGATGCGCCAGCGCCGCGCCGGCCACGCCCGCGCCCACCACTATCACGTCCCACACCTGCTTGTGTCGAGGTGGGAGGGGGTGAAGGTCCGGCGGAGGAGGTGTGCGATGCAGGGCGAGAGGCACTCCCCAGGGGAAGGAGTGTCGCACGGCAGAGGGGCCGGCAGCGGGTCGGGTGATCTGCAACAGGCAGATCAATCTCATGACACAACTGATTGACTCGCCTGGGGATCGGTGGAGGTGTCGTCCTGGGAGGGGATGGGGGGAAGGTCGAAGCACGCCTGGGCCACCTCCGGGTCCTCCTGCCGCGCACCCTTGCCCATGCTGGAGCCAGCTGCTGGTATTGGGGGCCTGATGCGCATTATGTACTATGTTATGTAGAAGTGTTCAGACTGGCTGCGCTGGATCCCGCCTGCGAGCGACGGTGAGGGCCAGAAGACAGGGGTGTGGTAGCCGCGGAGGTACAACTCAGGATGGCAACCGCGTTGGAGCGAAAAAAAAAATGACGTCAAAGGTATACGAATGTGGGTGATTGTCAGTACGAGTGCCCCATGCCCTGGAAAGTTGATCGCTTAAAGGAGCAGTTTGTGTGAGGACACGCAGCAACCTGTGCTGAGCATGCTGTGCGGCCATGGAGGGCGACGTGGGGGGGGGGTTGAAATCGGGCAGCTTCCTCTCGATCATTCAGGACCGTTGGACGACCTGCCGCCGATGTCAGCCAGTGCATCGGAGTGACGGGATGTGGATAGTCGCCGGTCATGGCTCTGGCTGTTACCTTTTTACTCCTGCACAGACTCCTGTACAGATGATCTGGCGTGCCGGTATACTAGGGATACTTAGCCTGGTACAACTCGTACTGCATTGTCCACCTTGTCACAGCAAGTACAGGATCACATGCTGAGACCGGCCGTCTCCAGCGTTTGCCTCGGCGCAGGTGTCCTGCCCTTGCCAGCCTTGTCAGCCGCGGCCTTGACATCCCGTGCTCGAGCGTCCCTGGCGGCATATAGCTCGATCAGGTCCGGGGTCACATGCTCCTCCGGCTCCCAGCTGGGTTCCCTCCCATCCTCCCACCTGGGAGCGGGTGCGGCGGTGGGAAATTGGGTGTGAATGGAGCAGTGACTGGGGTCCTAACTCGCAGAGTCCAGTTGGATGGGGCCTCCGCAGCGGGCCATGGCGGAGGCATTAGGGGTCGACGGCCCAGCTACCCATACCTGCACCAAACTCTCCAACACCCCACTGAACAAGAGGACCGAATCTCCACTACACTCTTCTTTGAGCCCAGTCACGCACCGGACCAGGTAGGCCCTGCTGTCGCCACGCTGGCGCATGTCCAGGATTTCCAGGCCCTGGGCATACTCCAGCCCCGCCTCAAAGTCCTGCATCACGTCCTCGGCCACATACCTCGCAGCTACCCACTCCGGCTGGGGGTGACGATGAAAGGGGGGAATGTGACGGAATGAGTGCGCCTGGTGCGAGGCCAACGATGCGACTGCCTAGTCTGCAGTGACCCAAGCCTCCCTGCCCTCCATCGACAGCAGTCAGCCACAGTGACCACCAAAACAACTTGGCTACCTCTTCGGAGTCGTGGAACTTGACCAGAAACTCCCTGTCCTCCCCCTCATTCCGGCTCTCCAGGACTGCCACCGGTTCGACATCCTCGAAAGTATTATCTGGTGGAGTGAGATATGGGCGCCGCCAGGTTGAAGGGAATTCCTGCGCACAGACCTCTCCAATGCCACCGGGGGTCATACAGCGTTCCTCTCCCCATCACCACAGCCCATAGAGGTCAGCTGACGTCTGCTCGCAGGACATCCTTGGCCAGGCAGGGCTGTATCCCCATCCTACGATCAGCAACTACGCTCCACACAGGAGCCATCTCTGACCAACCCCCCCACCTGTCAAAACCTTCACCACGTCCTCCAAGGCCATGCGCCGCCCGATGAGGGCCGGGTTGTTGGTGGGGAGGGCCTCTCGGAGCCCCTCCACAAGGCCCAGGGGACTGCAGACAAAGGAGTGCTGAATGTGGGCTTTATAGTGGTGGGGGCAACTGCAGAAACTGAAGTGCAGCTCCAAGATGCTGCCGGACCTTGCACGCCTCCAAGTCCACCTAAAACACGCCACCCACCTCCTGCCCTGGGCATCCTCCTGCTCCGGATCGGCACCTGCCGTGAGCAGGGCCCCGATCGTGGCACTGTGGAGATAGCCTGAGGCCATGTGCAGCGGAGTGTAGCCTGCCGAAGAAAGGGAGGGGAGGGGGGATGGGCCCAGGGAGCACAGGCGGACAGAGCTGAACGGCGAGGGATGCCCACAAGCCGTTGGATTTTGTTTTCAGTAGGGCAGAGCCTAAAGGGAAAATAGCGATTTGCAGGATTGGCAACTACCAGCACATGCCACCTTCACCCCATTCCAACAAACCTATCGTCTCCTTGGGTCAAGCCAGCCACCCAGAAACCCACCGGCTCTGTCTGGCAGGTTGACCTCCGCTCCCGCTTGGACCAGGGCCTTCACCAGCTCGGGTTTCCCGCGGGCGGCCGCAAAGTGGAGGGCCGAATGCCGCTCTTCATCCAGCGTGCGTGCCAGGACCTTGCCGTCGGCCTGCCACCGGGATGCAACTTTGGGTGGTGGATGCACAATGGAGCACTGCACCTGCTCCGCTCCTTGCCCATGAGATGCACTAGGAAGGCAACGAACGACATGCCAGCCTCGATGGTTTCAAACACTGATCCCCCCAAAGAGTGCTAGGCGCCAGCCTAAGGGACGCTCTCGAAGCCCTCAAGATGGCGCCCATGTATGGGCTTCAGGCAGGATGAATTTGCACCTTTGGTCACAGTACGACCTCCATGAACCCTCCTGGCCACCTTCATCATGGCCAGCATGGTCTCCTCATCACCCTGGCGAGCAGCGGCCCACCACCTGTCCTCAAAGTCGCGGAGGAGGTCATCGGCCAGATTCTTGGCAGGTTCCCTGTTTGGGGAAACATGGTGTTGAAGGACGGGCAACGGCGAGGGGCACATATCTGCCTCGGCAAGCATTTGCTGATAGTTTGTGCTACCAAGCTGATGAGAGCCAGTCAGTGCCCCGTTCTTAAGACATGTCGCTCTACATGCCAGCAACCCACAGACAGATAGTGCGAGGAGCATGGCTGACACGGCCCTCCCAGCACCCACCATGTGTCGTGGGAGTCGTCGCTCCACGCCACCAGGTACTCGACGACAGGCTTCTCCTCGCTCTCGTTCAGCCTGATGCCCTTCACCTCCGACACCTTCAGAATCTCGTGGGCAGACCTGCCCATGAGAGCCTGTGACTTGCACTGTGGATGTCTGCGGGTGCCATCACATCTCCAAATCCTGGTTGGCGAGATCCAAGTTGACCTTGCCCTATGAATGGGCAAGGTGCGCACCCCGGCATGGGTTACATGCGGGAGCGACAGCGCAGGCATCCGTGATATCAGACCGATGAAAGCCCCTCAACTCATGCAAGCCGGGAGTAGGTTCGGTGAAGGAGTGCACAGCAAGATGTCACTACTTCGATGACCCGAGTCCCTTTTATTCACGGTATTCAGCCTGTCACTCGCTTGTCTCCTGACTCGTCGCAGGCGACGGGTGTCGAGATTTTAGCTCTATCGGAAACACTCCCAGCACGCTCAGCATGAGGTCCCATCATTTTGCGACCTGCATTCTTGCCCAACTGAGCAGACCTCGGGAGACTGCAACTTAGACTCTCCATTCGCATTTGGATACAATGCCCACAGCTGGACGCTTGGCTGACAGGCTCAAGCGCTGCAAAGCTCATCAGCAACTGCTGTACTTTGGGAGGGGTGCAACACAGCCCCAATGCCTCAGTGGATCATTGTCCCCACTTCAGCTTTGAGAAGCTGCACAGCGGCGTCCAGTCCTGTTGCATTATGATGCACTGTATT